CTTTGTGTTCTCATCATTTTAATGGCGAATCAATCAAAAACATAAATGAATTCAGGTGTGGATTCGCAAGCCGGTTGTTCCCGAAGGAGGGCTCAGTATCCAGTGTATATGGATCAGGTTCGTCCTCCTCCGAATCACAATCTGTAAGTATTATTAATAATGTTTGCTGTTATGTTTTCTGTAGCATGCACAATATAGTTATATTGTGTTGTGTACACTCCGTGCAGCTTCTAAGCGGGGTAAAGTTAGTTTTGTTTTTGATATTCACCAGACATTCATTGAAAAATGGCAATTACCTCCTAAACGACTTAGCCAAATATGACAGCGCTCTATAAAATAAGCACTGCCCCTCAAAAGCCACCGCAAAGTGAGTTTCGCCGGGAAAGCTCGCTCTTGACGGAGACGCGAGTAAGGGGCCGTGTGGAAAGTGCACTTTTTCTGACACGTTTGTTCAAACACTATATACAATTTTCAACACTTGACAAGCTATAATCCTGGTTATGGGCGTTCCGTTGCCGACAGTCTCTGCCTACGGTTTACCAATAACAACTGACTGGGTCATGTGACCAATCGCCGCAGATTCGCGTCACGCAAAGGAGGTGTTTGGGAAAATGAATCGTCGAACGAATCATTTGGGAGTCGTTGAGCAAATCGGGTAAAAATAAATGCATATTATAAGACAAATAAAGTGTTTTTTATCCTTGCATGCTCGTTAAACTGTTTTTGGGAACTCCCAAAACAAAAATAGGAACATTTCAAATGCAATGATAGGGGCTCTTTAATTCTGAAAATGCACTTCCTTTATAAGGCGAGGGCAGACAGCAGACTTCTCTCTCGGTGAATTATTTATCCAGGTATCAAGCGAAACAGCAGCCACAGATCAGCTGGGCAACAGGAAACTACAGGAAATAGGGATCCTAATTGTTGTCTATTACACTTTGGCTGGGCTAATGGCAATGTGGACCTCTCTCCTGCTCTCTCTCTCTCTCTCTCTCTCTCTCTCTCTCTCTCTGTATGTCTCTCGCTGAATGTCCTTTTTGCACTGAAACCATTTTTCATGCATTTGTAAATTGTTCTACATTAAAGCTTTCATTTTTGTCTTTATAAAATATTTTTCAGAGGTGCAATTAAGCTTTTTCTTCTGTGTTATTTATTTTGTTTTTTAAATATGTGTTGAAAAAAAAGATTTGCATGTCAATTGCTGAATTTTGTTTTAGGCCAAAGCAAAATTGGCTATTTATACAAGTCGGAAAAAGACAGTTGAACAAAATCTGGAGCAGAAGAAAGTTGCAATTTTTTTTTCAAACATGGTGCAGGCAATAATATTGATTGATTTTGCTTATTACAAGCATATGGATGATCTTGTCACTTTTGAAGCAAATACCTTGTTGAAATAAGGCTTTGTGCTCTGTATTTGAAGGTGATTTGGTTTTTGGACATTTCTTGTGAGTTGGAGTTGGTCTTAAAGGGATAGTTCACTTTGAAATAAATTTTTGGTATGTTTTAGCTTACCTCAAGGGCATCCAAGATGTAGGTGTCTTTGTTTCCGCAGTAGTTTCAATGTTGATATTTTTTTTGGTAAAACTGTTCTTGTCTGTCAGTCATATAGACCTTATGCACCAGAGAAACATGGGCGCCGTCATCTTTAGAATATTGTCTTTGAACTTCCATTTATTCCGTAATTTAACAAAAATTTTCCATCGCTCCACTTGGAAAAAAATTAGCGCAATGCTTCAATTATGAGTTTCAAACTACATTTGAAATAACGGACTTGAGCGCTCAAAAGACACGATATGTGAACGGCCCCTTGACGAGCTACCTCCAATCAGGCTACGAGCTACTGGTAACTCACAACACAAGCGACGTGTTGGAGTAAAAGATACGCAAGAAGAAACACTAGTGGTTCTGGTTTGCCTATTTCCTATTTACTTGTTTGGTGGAGGCAATCCAGAATTACTGTTGGTGGAATTAAAAACTCTTCAGATCAGCACGATTCACCGACGTGGAAAAAAGCGGGAGGTGCTGAAAAGCGCGCTGCTTGCATCCCTAGAAGATAGGGCCCTGTATCTCTCTTTCTTTCTTTCTGTCTCTCTCTGTATCGCTCTCTCTCTGTCTGGGCCGTCTGCAGGATAAGAGTGCTAATGCTACGCTGGCAATTATCTCCCCTCAACAACCACACAGGCATCATATCAGCCCCTCTCCAAGTGTCTCAGATCTGCATGTTTCAGTGTCATTAGTCTGTCTGTCTGAGAGAGAGTGTTATTTTCCCCTTGTGATGGTCTGTTAATGGAGTCTGCTTGTGCGTTTGCATTCAAAGGGGTTTGATTCTGTCACAGGCGCTGATGAGTTTCTCTTCCTCTGAGTTTTAAGTTTATCTCATTGGATGAATATTTCACAAACCTCGTCGTCGTATGTGTGTGTGTGACGCCTTCTTCCAGCGCAGTTTGGCATGTGGCGTCGCCGCGTCGATCGATCTCGTGTGTGTTTGTGCCGAGAGGGATGAAGTATCTGGTTCCTTTTCAGACTCTCGCAGCACAGATGCGGTAAACTGCAGATGCAGGAAGAACGTCAGACCAAAATACTGGAATCTAAACATGAACACACACACACATTCTTGTACATCTCTCTTTGTAAGGACATTCATTGACACAATGAGATCTCTATCTCCTTACCCAAACCCTCCCCATCACAACTAACTGCCTAACCTGAACTCTTACTATAATTACTTAATAATAATCTGATCACTAAAACAAAGTCTTGACCTTTAAAAGTGATAACTGGCCAAAATATCCTCACTTTACTCTCTTTGTCCGTCTAAAACTAAAACCGGTCCTCACATTCTATCATTTGCAGTTCTGGCGCCTCCGTCCCAAAATACTATAAAATGTGACGTACAATCACATCACATTAACGCAGAGATAGTTACACTCACGGGACACTGCAGTTCACAAAAGTTGATTATTTTTTAATCAACTTTTCTTGAAAATAATCGTGATGTGAAATTTTACCATATCGCCCACCCCTAGTTGTACACAAAGACCCTAAAGTTTCTATGATATACTGTATGAGGTCAGGGGTTTTTTCAAATCACACCAGTTTTGTAAAATTGCATATAAACCTTAAGTGTTTTTTTTTCTTTTCTTTTGTTTCTTCTCTTTCTCTCCAATATGGTATTTACTGGAGTAGGACGGTCTGTGTATGTGTGTGTGTGCGTGTGTGTGTGTGTTAGTGGATCGTTCTTGGTTTTGCTGAGGTGGCAAAGTGCCGTTTAGTCATTTGTCCATGTCAGCTAAAGAAGCTAAAACAACTAAGACTCAAACACTAGTTTATACCTTACAATATATAATTGTATAGCCTATACACGTGGACATATATTTACGTGTGTCTTTATATATGTATTAATTTATTTAGTATATATTTTTTCATCAGTTTTTGAGGTTATGAAAGGGTTTTTAAAACCATACACTAGCTTGTACAGGGCGTTATTAAAACAAACACGCAAACACATTTTGCCCAACATTTAAACATTTTAAACCAATTAGAACCAATTTTTACAAATACAGAACTACAATACACTTAGATCATGAGACGATATGATACACAGTATTGGGTTCACGAGAACGAGACGATATATTTAAGAAACGTTAGCTAAGAAATCTTCAATGATAAAATATGACTGGAAAAATAGTCTTTTATTTGACTGAAAGTCATAAAATGCAAAACAACGCAAGTGTAGTTAACTAGTCTAGGGCTGCCACTAACAAGTATTTTGGTAATCGAGTAATTGGTCAATAATTTTGACAATTAAAATTGAGTAATCAGATATTTTTTGTGTAATTTTTACCTAAGCGAATCCCCTTTAAAATTACTTAAAACACATATAATAACGGTAAGAAAATAATAAGTGGTTTGCATAAACTATCAAAAGCAAGTAATTGAATAGTTTAATTTAATAAAGAAGTTCAAATCGCATACTTCCCTACTATGCCTACAGTAGGCGAAAAACAGTAGGCTATGTGACAAGAGTAGTATCTCCAAATTCCCAATACTCGAGTACGCGAAAAGTTCCCATATAACCCTACTACTTCCGGCAAGATTAGTGCATGGACACTTTACTACACCTACTACTTCCGGCAAGATTCAGAAGTGTGCATGGACACTTTATCCCATAAGGCCACGGGAGAGGATTAGTGAATGGCATTGAAGACACAACTAGCTCTGGTAGGTCACATGATAAAGACAACATGGTGGATGTGTCTCTGGATTACATTCATAATAAAGATAGAACATACTTTTTAGCTTTCATGAAGCAATTACTAATTCAAAATAAGTAAATAATCATGATAGTATGTGATTTCAGATGCAGGTTTGATCCATAAATGTATCAAAATCAAAGACGGTTTGGTGTGAAGATCAGAAGAGATCATGAAGTGAGGAATAATTGATGGACTGATTAATTATTGAAAATTTAATGCACAACTGAATATAGCCAGATAAAACAAAAAAAAATTTTAGGTTTTTGTAGGCCTAGGCAACCTAAAATGCTCTTGTGTAAAACTTTCTTACACCAAAGTAAAAAGAGGCTGCGTCTCAATGGAAAAGACTAGAAAGTATTTCAACGAAGTCCTGCTTAATATTCCTCATGTGTTTTGAGTGTTAAATTAAAGCTCTGAGGAGCATCTCTCTTCACCAAAGACAATAGATTCAAACATGTAAAAGAAGGGATTTTCTCTTGAAATCAATCCCAAACATTTAAAAGGTTTTTCTCTTTTCTTCCGTGAGAGTTTTGTAGCTTTAATCAGTCGAGTGGAGTTAAAGTTCAAGCGCGTGGTGTTTTAACCGCCGTTTAACGGCTCGCCTTGTTAAAACGCAGCACGCGTCGCTTCAGTCTTCACATCTGTTCGTCATCTTAAGCTCACTTTAAGCTTTAATTCCAACGAAATTTAAATGTATCTTTAAACTTACCAACAGGCGATTTCTTTTCGACAGGTTCCGTTGCCGTGAGAACACAGTGGATTCGGATTCACCGCCCCCGGCAGCCGTTACCGTGGCAACTCCCGCGGAGAACCCTCACCGACTGTGGTAATGCGTTTTAACGGTCATCAGCATGTAATCCTGCAAAGTTTTTCAATATATTCGTTTAAAAAAAAAATACATGTATAATACTTCAGAAATTCATAGTCAGTACTAGTATTACTGAGTAATACATATAACTTCATAATTCGAATCCTTGATTCTGATTGGTCAATAGCTGTGCTTTGTTCATGATAAAACCATAGACTGTAAAAAACAGGATAAAACACGGCTATGACGCTTCACCCAACGGTTCTATTTATCACTGTACAACACTGCAGTTCCTAAAATTCCAATGTTGTTTTTATACAAGCTTTTATGCACTTTGTTCACGGCAGGGACTAGTTTTTTTTTTTTATATTTTTATTGTGTGGTAACCGTTTTACAAAAGCAATAAGGTACTCGAGGCAAGTGCTGTAAATTGTCAAGTA